TTGAGAGCTGACTTTTTGGCCCTTTTCCTTTTGGCATCCTGTTACCATTTCGTTTCAGCTGTTCGACACGAACTATTTGGTGTTTTACGCTCATTTCACAGCGAACAAAGTTTCGCCCCGGAATGTGGAGAGTTTTGGTTACGCACATATCGGAGTGAATCGAAACTACTCCTCCGAATGATACGGTGGAAATCGCAATTTTCACGTTAATCCTAATTACCTTTGAACTTAATTGCTTAATTAGAAACTATTCGAGTGTGGGAGTAGATTATTCGTTACCGCAACCAAATCGATTTCGATACTTTGTCTCTGTGGGGAGTATCCGAATAAAACATGATCAAATTCTTGAGTGTGCTCGGTTCTAGGTAGCTTTAATATTGAGAAGATGAGAAAGAACATTTAAAAGCAAGGGCGTACCCAAATTCTGGATGCATCAAGGGGCGATTGCACCAATTCTATAACAATACCATACTAAAGAACTATACACAAACATATATACCTCTCACTAACACTGCACTATCACTTACTTTAACTGAAATGTGGTGGAACACGTCGAATACTCAATGATTTGACTACAATTTTAGAGGGCAAGTATATTTGAAGGTAGTACTTTTAATCGAAACATGGATCCTATGAATGTGTCATGAAATACCACATCAGGAGTAGATTAATATATACGTATCAAAAACGTTCTGCATTTATTTCCAGCACTTAATATTTTGAAATTATATAATTAAAACTCAGCTTTTATTGTGGAAGTATTTCCTTCTTCGCTTAGTTTTTCCAACGCAAAAACATTGTTTTTAAACTATACTTTTCCGACGACCTTCACAAAAAGAGTGTGTTTGGGACAGCTTTGAATGGCTGGCTCTTGGAAAATTGTTATAATGTCCTTGACTTGCAAGCTTAAAGTATAGGCTTTTCGGCCTTGTTTGAATGCCTCCAGCTTTACCTGGCATTACAGCACATCCATCAAAACCAAATTCAACACATTTCTGAGGATCAACATCCATTTCACTTATATATTCTTCAATATTTGCAGCTATAGTTTCTGCACTCAATGCATTCAAATCTATTAAGCCAACAAACTATTCAATAATTTATATTGGGTACAAAAATAAAAATGATTCAAAATTCAAAATCGCTAATTTAAAATTTGGCAAGAAATATTCAAACTTTTTATTAAATGAAAGACAAAATTGAAAAATCGCCTTGGCGTCTATCTGTATTCATCGAAGCTATTTGGATACTTCTGTTCAAAATCGATATTAAAAAGCATTGCCAAAGGTTGCTTCCCTCGAGAATTTAATTACTATCTTGGTTTTATTGAATTTTCGAGCTCATACCCTTTAAATTAAATTTAAATTTAGTTCCTATCCCACTGCAAGTGTTTTTTTAAGAAACTTCGTTTCATGTGGCCTATGTTAATGCTAAGCTAATGCTAATATATGTACCTGCTTCAAAGTAGCTTCAACTAAAGGATCAATAAAGGTTGTAAGGAGTGGCACTTACAGTGCCCTCAGTAATTGCAATTAATTTCAAGTAGATTAATCTCCTGCTCGATTGGCACACTAGAGACATTTTCACGTCGGAAAATCCGTTACGATGCAATCGATCAGGTGAACTGTACTCGCCTACCTGCCCGAAGGACCGGAGATCAGACCTAACGATCCAGAAGTGATGACGCATTCCTCCATCCCTCGCGTTGCGCAGGTAGAGGGTGAGTCGCCATCGAGTATAAAAGCATGCCCAGCCAGAGGCACAGTATCATTCGAACTACAGTTCCCAATCTGTGCAGATCATCGGCACCAATTCTCCATTCAACTGAAACATGTATACCGAAGCAGCTCATCGTTTCAACTCCAGCTCTGGTGTGCCGGAGAAGAGCTCTCTCACCGGCGCCGCCACCAACATGAAGAAGCTGCTAAAGAGCATCAGGCGGATCTTCACCCACTCGAAGGCGGGCAAGGACCTCAGCGCGATCCGTCACACGTGCCACAGCGAGGAGGAGCATCAGAACTGGCTAAACGAACAATGGGAGTCCAGCAAAATCTGTCTCCACTGAGGCTATGGCCACATTGGCGATCCCTCTGAGCATCTGTGATGGGACTTGCTCGCATGGTCGATAAACGAGCACGCCGGCTTTAAACTCAAACTGTGATCACGAGAGCACAAGACTGACCTGCCTCTGTGCCTCGAAAGCACTATCAAACGTCGCTTTCACACTGTACTATATAGTATATGTATATAGAAATCTTCAAATGCTTTAACTTTTCCTAAGTAGTAGTTATAATCATTGTCTTCCATTAGTCTTACGAGAATTGTCTTCCATGTTTGTTTGTTTAGGGTTCAAAATTAGGATTAAGAATAAAAAATCCCTCGAGGAAAAAAAACAAAACTATCTGCTCGTATTTGTTATTTCACTGATTTCTTAAACTTTAGCAGCTCATCAGATCTTCAGGTCAATGCGATTAAAATTCTCATTGGGTCTTATATCGTTCGATGGATACTTAGCAACCGAAAGCTGGGGAGAGTCCCACGGGAAATGTTCTACCAAATCGTCACGCTGCTCGTATGGAGCTGTGATACCCACGGACCTGGAGTCGCAGTCTCTAACTGCTGATGGCCTTTAAGTTGCGGTTCCCGGCAGCTGCGATCAGCCAAACTACTGCGGACATATAAACAGCTCGGCGGCAATCATATGAATTAGCGACGAGCTCCTCGTCACCTCCGTGATCCTGGATCACAAAATCTGTAAATAACAATAAAACCGAAAGATTTCTACTTACCATACCCGAACACTGCGAATGAAATATTATAAGCTTCCTTTGAGAAGGTGGAAGCGTCAACGAAGTACAAAATAGAAGACTTAAGCATAGCTCATTTTCTGCATATAGCTCCCTGACTGTTATGAATACTTAGCAGGGACCGTAATTATTATAAGCGAAGTTTTAAAAACACCAGTGGCTGCGTTAAGAAGAACTCTTATCATAGATTTAGTCGTGATTCGAGGTTTTGAAACTATTAAACCTTAATAGACTCCAAGTAAATATTTTCTTTTGATGGCTGGGATAAGATGATCGACTTTGATGCAGTCTAAAGCTTTGGAAGTATATTCTGCATTTACTATCTATATGTTCTCCTTATTGAAATTATTGGTCTCGATATTGCTATAAAATTAGTGGATCGAATCTCTTGGAGCTTCACTGGTGTCACGTTTTCGGAGCCTAAGCAACTCAATATCTTCAGACGAGATTTCGCCATTTTTGTCTCGCCATCGCATTATCTATGTAAGGTCGAAGAACAAGACCCACCTAAAATACTGAAACTCTTGGGAAAGGGTCTCAAAAATGGTAGATATTGGTCTCTTCTTGCCGACGCACAGAGGGCCCTCTGCCAAAAAGAGGTGCAAAAGTAATTTTCTGGGCGAGTCCATTCGGTAATATACGAATCTAATAGAGGATTTTCCAGGGTTTTAGATTTAGTCTAACAGAAAAAAATTACAAAAAAAAAATACATTAAAACTAGCTAATTTCAATAAAATTTTATAATTAAAGTTAAAAATTTCGCTATTTAAAATTCGAAAAAAGATTTGTATTAACAAAAAAATCAATTTAAAACGAGGGGGAACGTTGTGAGTTGCTGCAGACACCGCAACTCTACAGTTATACCCGATACTAAGTCAGTATGGCTTTCCTCCGGCAGACGCCGCTAATATTAAACGACACGACAAAGAGTGCGTGCGAGAGAGACAGAAAATCAGTCTGAGCGTGATGTCACGCGCTGCGTAGCCACTGCAAATTGATTTGTTCCTTTTGGCTACAAAAATTATCTGATCTGATCCAGATTCAGCAATCTGATAGATATGGTCGTTATCTATGATTCCCCGTTTTTAGTTTTCTCGAATCTGCAATATTGTGGATGCAACAGATTTTCGTCCTTTGTGTGGGCGGAAGGGGGTGGGGCGAAATTTTGAGATACACGTTTTATAGTGAGATCTAAGAGAAGTGCGGATTCCAAATTTCGTTACTCTAGCGTTAATAGTCTTTGAGATTTGTGAATATCCCCAGATTTGCATCCTTTGCGGGGGCGGAAGGGGGTGTGGCGAAATTTTGAAACAAACTCGTCTCGGTCTGATATATTAGGAGTGTGGATACCAAATTTGGTTGCTCTAGCTTTTATAGTCTCTGAGATCTAGGCGCTAATGTTTTACTCTAAGCAAAGCCGCCTATGCTACCTGTGTGTTAGAGAGAGACAGGGCGAGAAAAAATGAAATTGTTTTCTTGATGCTGGCTATAATAGTAATACGATCCAATTCAGATTCTGCAGTCTAAAAGATATGGTCATTCTCTACGATTCTGCGTTTTTTGTTTTCTCGTATCTTTAAAATTGTGGATGCCACAGATTTTCGCTCTTTGTGGGGGCGGAAGTGGGCGGGGCAAAGTTTTGAAATATTTTTGTAGCAGTGACATATCACAGAAGTCTGGATCCAAAACATCGTTGCTCTAGCTCTTATAGTCTTTGAGCATTAGGCGCTGAAGGGGACGGACAGACGGACGGACGGACAGACGGACAGACGGACAGACAGACATGGCTCAATCGACTCGGCTATTGATGCTGATCAAGAATATATATACTTTATGGGGTCGGAAACGATTCCTTCTGGACGTTACACACATCCACTTTTACCACAAATCTAATATACCCCAATACTCATTTTGAGTATCGGGTATAAAAACATGGAGATAAAGAAAGATCGCTGGTTATGTCTTAATCTTAATTATTACACTTCGTCCCCTCTCCACCTAATGACCTATTTTATTAGAATTATAAAAAACAAATTTTATTTATTTCCACTACATGTTTTTCCGCTACATCTCTCTGTCTCTCCCTCTCGTTTCTCAAAACAAGTGAGTTGTTTTCTGACGAGTCAGTAGTAGTATTGAAGTACGTAATACGATTTGGTTTATTCAAAATTCATTTGTGGAAATACAGCAATAAATTTTATATTTGAAAATAAAAATGGCCGCAAAGTGCAAAACTGCAGGCGCAATGCCATGCGACTTGACCCGCGACGTTTGCCAGTTGAAGGGCAAGTACCGCACTACTAATACAATCACAATAAGCAGTGTAAGCGAGCAGTTAGATCCCACAGAATCGGTGAGGTCACAGGGCAAGCAGCTTGGGCGGCTGGTCAGGCACATGAAGATGGGGTGCAAAAAGCCGCCAAATCAGAGCACTCTAAAGGGTCTCAATCCCTGCCTGCCTTGCTTCAAGCCTGACTTTCTCTATCATCTGGGCATGGACACGGCCACGACGAACTTCCCCAAGGTCTTTGGCGATGTGCGGGTAAGTCGAATAATGACAAAGTGATCCTTCGGTGGTCATTTCGGTGGAGTGCTCTGAATCCGTAGTTTGTTTGCATGGGTGGTACGCCTGGACGCATGGAGAGATTTGCTTATAGGATTATGAAGGACCTCCGTCTGAAGCTGAGCCCGGTAACTACTCTTAGGAATATGACCGATGGTCATCGCTTTGCGCTCTACAAAGTGGGCCCAGTACTGTGTGTAACTCATGGCATGGGGTGTCCGTCGATTTCCATACTGCTCCATGAGCTCATCAAGATGATGCACTATGCAAAGTGTCAGAATCCCGTCTTCATCAGAATTGGGACCTGCGGCGGCATCGGAATAGAGCCCGGAACCGTGGTCATCAGCTCGGAGGCACTGGACTGCAAGCTCAATCCCTGTTATGAGGTAATCGTTCAGGGAAAAATCGTGCAGCATTGCAGCAAACTAGACCAGTGTTTGGCCCAAGAACTCCGATCACTGGCGAATCCTTGCGAAGTTGACTTTGAGGCAATTATTGGTAAGACCATTTGCGCCGACGACTTCTACGAAGGCCAGTCCCGACTCGATGGTGCCTTCTGCGACTACACGAGTCACTCGAAGATCGCCTATCTTTTGGGCCTGAAGGATAACGGAGTGGTCAATTTCGATATGGAGAGTACCGCTTTTGCCGCTCTCACAAAAAGGGCCAATATACGCTCTGCCGTCGTCTGCGTTAGCGTCATCGATCGTATAAAGGGTGATCAGGTAAGTGAATCTGGCATTTACTAACACCATTCAAAAATAATTCTTTGATGATTCACATTAGATACGTGCATGTCCGAAGTCCGTAAGTGAGTGGGAGAAGCGACCTCGGGAGCTCGTGTCGCGATACATTCGCAAAGTACTCCTGGACGAAGTGAAAGTAAAAGACGTTCCTGCCCGCTGCGTGGGAGGAGAATCGGTGATCTGAATTTCAGCGAAGGATTATTTATTTACGTACTTTCGCGGCACGCCCGAGGCTTTCTATGGCACGTCGAAGTTCTCAGTTCTCCAAGTATTCAGCTCTCTGCCAAAATAAGACCAAACCTGTTACTATATCTAGATAGAGGCATTCTGTACGTTTATTCGCTTTCGATCACAATGCGTCTAACAGTCAGTAAAAATAAAATAAAAACTGCTGCTATCTCTCTTCTCTCCGCCAGGGACGCACACTGCACGAAGAAGAGTGAGAGAGAATGAGTAAGCGCGTGGAAGGGGGTTGCCTAGCCACTGCAGATTGATTTCTTCACTCTGGGTATAATAAGGATTTGGTAATCTGGTAGCCGGTAGCCACAAGGACGAGGACGCGACATTGAAATACACTTGCAACCGTGTAATATCACAGGAGTCTGCGTACAAACTTGGGTTTCTCTAGCTCTTGTTTATCTGAGATCTAGGCGCTCATCGGGACGGACAGACATAGCTATATCCACTCGACTTTTGATGCTGATTAAGAATATACATACTTTGGGGGTCGGAAACGCTTCCGTCTGGGTGTTACACAAATCCCCCACAAAACTAATCTATCCCTTAACTGTTTGAGTAAGTTTTAATTGAAAATAATTCCTTCACTCTCAGTATTCATGAAAACTAGTAAGTCTGTGGATAAGCTTGCTGGTGAAAATTGTCAAAGGCTTCTTCCCCCGCGAATTGAAATATTATTGAAGGATCAATAAAGGTTGTAAGGAGTGGCACTTACAGTGCCCTCAGTAATTGCAATTAATTTCGAGTAGATTCTCCTGCTAGATCGGCACACTAGAGACATTTTCACGTCGGAAAATCCGTTACGATGCAATCGATCAGGTAAACTGTACTCGCCTACCTGCCCGAAGGACCGGAGATGAGACCTAACGATCCAGAAGTGATGACGCATTCCTCCATCCCTCGCGTTGCGCAGGTAGAGGGTGAGTCGCCATCGGGTATAAAAGCATGCCCAGCCAGAGGCAGAGTATCATTCGAACTACAGTTCCCAATCTGTGCAGATCATCGGCACCAATTCTCCATTCAACTGAAACATGTATACCGAAGCAGCTCATCGTTTCAACTCCAGCTCTGGTGTGCCGGAGAAGAGCTCTCTCACCGGCGCCGCCACCAACATGAAGAAGCTGCTAAAGAGCATCAGGCGGATCTTCACCCACTCGAAGGCGGGCAAGGACCTCAGCGCGATCCGTCACACGTGCCACAGCGAGGAGGAGCATCAGAACTGGCTAAACGAACAATGGGAGTCCAGCAAAATCTGTCTCCACTGAGGCTATGGCCACATTGGCGATCCCTCTGAGCATCTGTGATGGGACTTGCTCGCATGGTCGATAAACGAGCACGCCGGCTTTAAACTCAAACTGTGATCACGAGAGCACAAGACTGACCTGCCTCTGTGCCTCGAAAGCACTATCAAACGTCGCTTTCACAATGTACTATATAGTATATGTACATAGAAATCTTCAAATGCTTTAACTTTTCCTAGGTAGTAGCTATAATCATTGTCTTCCATTAGTCTTACGAGAATTGTCTTCCATGTTTGTTTGTTTAGGGTTCAAAATTAGGCTTAAGAATAAAAAATCCCTCGAGGAAAAAAAACAAAACTATCTGCTCGTATTTGTTATTCACTGATATCTTTAACTTTAGCAGCTCATCAGATCTTCAGGTCGACGCGATCAAAATTCTCATTGGGTCTTATATCGTTCGATGGATACTTAGCAACCGAAAGCTGAGGAGAGTCCCAGTGGAAATGTTCTTTCAAATCATCACGCTGCTCGTATGGAGGTGTGATACCATACCCACGGATCTGGAGCCAAAATTCCCGTTGAGCGGGTCTATAATCTTGGTGGCCGCCTCTCAGGTGCACGAGGAATATAATATCAATATGAATTCCAAGCCCAATGAGAGCTCCTCCGCTCCCGTTCGTGTAACAGCCGCGAAAGTTTCTGCCTAGGATAACTAATACTCGGGATGGATCCTCCTACTCCCAACTCACCCTTCATCGTCCGCAGGACGGTCAGAGTGCTGAATGTAGAATTTCACAGGCAATGACCCCGAGAAACATGACACCTTACAACTTACATGTAGTAACACATCAAAATTCTACATACACTTTACATTCATTACTACATTATTTATCCCATCAGGTAGCGCGCCTGTCGACTACATTTTGAAGCTGACGCTGGCGTTGCCACATGATTGGAATCAGTAGATAAACTGACAGTTCCCGCTATTCGATTAATTTTGTCGTTTTTTTTTTCAAACTGTTTATTTATTTCAACGCTTATGATAAAAGTTGCTTTAACAATACACATTCGATATATGTATATAAGTATATGTATATAAGTTGGAAGTGCACTTCTTGGTATTCATTATCCGTATGTTTGAGTGCGTTTGTGGTGAGATGCATGTCTGTTTGTTTGTCACTTACTGTCGTACTGTCTGGTTATGTTACTGCATTTGCATTTGTTCGGGGAAGGTGAAGGTGAAGGTACCGACACACCAAGATATAGACGTTGTGGAAGATGAAGTATAGTTTGTCAGGCTTTGACTGCGGCTGTTCGCTGCGTAAAGTTATAGTTGTAGTATCCACCAGTGGCATTTAGAGTTAGTTTTAGTTGATTAATCGAATGGGGGAAGGCAGGGACAAATGCAGATGGCAAGACTAACGGAAGATTCTCGGAGTGGAAGCCGTTTTGAGTGCGGTTTGCTCGTGATTTGTTTCTGTTCAAAAAAATGTTCGAAAATGTTGAATTTCGATCGTATTAATGCAATTGGTGCAATTATCTAATATTAATATTTCGTTCATCTACAAAAAAAAAACGGAATGCTGGCCAATTGTTGTTCGTTTGAATCTCTAGCAAGCAGAACACTGTCCAGAACCGAGCCGATCGGACTCGAACGGAGTCACTGATAGTCGACAGAGTCACTGTCCAGCAATGTGGAGGAGACCCGCGATGTGCGGCGATTCCAGTAATCCGTGTAGCACGACTCGTACTGGGCAGTGGTGCGCCACGGTGGCCATTTCAGCTATTCCTCGACAATGTCCCACACCATGAGCGAAGCGTCTGTGCCGCCCACCGTGATGAGTGTGTGATCCCCGCACAGGAAGCGGGCGCAGGCCAGCATGCCAGAGTACACCTTCGACTCGTGGAATTCGGCGCGCGGCGAGATGCACGGATACCTGTAAAACCGCATCAGATTAGCTAATTACATCAGCGGAATGCTAGCGCATTCCCCATTCCCCATCCTCCTTCCTTTCCCCTCCCATCGCCACAGCTCACCTGAACAAACGCAAATATCCCTCGGCATCGCCAGAGGCAAGCATATCGTGTGCGGCCGAGCGACTGCAGGTGGCTACGATGGTGTTGGTGGTGCTGTAGTAGCGATTGCTCCACTGGCCGGCCACCAGGAAGCCCACAGTGCAGTTGTTGGTCAGCCACTTGACATCCTTCATGGCAATGGGACTGCGCTCCGGCGACAGCGACTTGGCGTCCCAGAACAGCAGGTCAAAGTCAATTGTCACCGTCTGCACAAAGTTGCCATCCATACTCCAGTCCAGGTGTGTCAGGGGCTGGGAGCCGCGTATCTTGTTGACCTTCTTGTAGGAAAAACCGTCGCGCGACACGCGGAAGAGGTAAATGCTGCCATTCTGTGAGCCCATGGCAATCATGTCACCAACTGTCGGCCAGAGTCAGAGAATGAAGCAAGAGTTAGATCATGTGGGACTGGGACAAGCTTAGGGTACTGAATCCTACCCTGATTGTAGGCCACGCAGTTGAGGGGCGAGCCACAGACGCGAAGGGTCAACATCACCGCTCCGTTCTCGCAGTTGATGACCAGCAGATGGCCCTCAGTGCTGCCCGCAGCAAGAGTGCCAAACGGATGGAAGGCCAACGCCACACACTCGTACCCCGTCTGAATGGTCCAGATCAGTTTATTCTTGCGCCACAGCGCCACATGCTTGTCGTGACCAGCCGTCGCATAGAGCTCGTCATCCGGATGTGCGGCCAGACCCCACAGCTGCCGGCCATGTCCGAAGACCACCTGGGTGAAGCGGCGCTGCAGCGAGCCCTCGAGGATGTTGTTGCGGGTTGTGCCGACATATATGTTGCCATCGTTGCGCCCAGGACGCTGCGGATAAATCGTTCGCACGCCGCCAGCGGCTTCAGGAAGCTGCCACAGGAATACACAAAAATAAATGAAACAAAGCTCTCTCTGGGAAACGCCTAGAAAGCACCACCTTAGTGTCGGCAATCTTCTTGTAGTTCTGCAGGGAGTCCCAGGCGGCTATCTTGCGGTCCTTTTCGCCGCCCGACAGCAGCGTTCCCTCCCCGAGCATGATCAGGCAGCCGATGCCCTTGTTGTGGGCCTCGAACTCGGTGCGGACAAAGTAGGCGCCATCGGAGTCCACAGAGTAGATGGTGATAAAGCCATCCGAGTCGGCTGTTATGACATCGCCATCCGGCTCGAATTGCACGCTCGTTACGTGCGAGCGCGATGGCTGCTTGACAATATCCGTCCGCTCGAAGAAGCCATCTTTGCGCCGATGCCAGAAGGCCAGGTGGCCGCGCCCGTGTGTGATGATGAGATTATCATCCAGCGGATGGAATGCGGCGCCCGATAGGCCCTCCTGCAGTGTCTGCAATGGACCAGTGCCCAGAGATTAGATTAGTCTGAAATATAGCTTCATTGGATGGTTTGGGCTTTGGACTCACGGCTACTTTTCCCAGCAGGTGACCCCATTGCCACTGCCAAACGGACAGGATGCTCTCACGGCCGCTGTCCACGGCAAGGATGTAGCTGCCTCCGTTCTGCGAAGGAGTAGGCAATAGGGTTATCTTATCTAAAGTAATTCCGATGGATAAATTTTACCAGCTGCGAAAATGCCACGGCAGTGACGCCACTATCTAGTTCGCCCATGCCAAAAACGTAGAGTGTCTGCAAGGACTCGGTGCTCCAGATCCGTACATGCGCCTGCGACTTGCGATCGCGTCCAGCTTTCTGCCCCGAGGCCACCAGCTCCCTGGAGGGGTGCACATCCATGCTGGCAGGGATGAGAGTCTTTAGACATCTGTGGGATCTATTCGGGGTCAACAGCTACTCTTACCACATAATATCTTCAGTGTGGCCTGTGTAGTGGCGCTGAGCATCCTCGTCCCGATCGAAGAGCACGGCCACAGCGGCCACGTAGTAGAGCAGCTCCCCGGACGGCAAGACCCACAGGTTCCGGCGAGCATCGATGCCACGGTAGCCATGACTGAAAGTAGTTACTTGATACAGTGACTGGAGGTACAGTGAACACTCCTGCACCAGCTTACACCCATTGGAGCTGCAACTTTTTGTCCGGCGGCGAGTTGTCAGCCGGCGCATGGTGAACGGGCGGATAGAAGGTACGCCGCAAGCCCCTGATCGTAACCTTGGTGGGCTCCTCCTTCATGATGTCCAGCATGGTGTACTCCCCATTCGGTCGCAATATCTCGCTCTCCGGCGCGTACAGTATGCGCGGCCGGCTCTTGCTCCTAGGCCTTGCCCCACGCAGCGGCACCTTGGGCAGCTCATCCGTGGGCAGTATGGGGGCGGCGGCCACCACCGAGGGTCTCGACCGCGACCGTCTGATGGGTGAGCCGGCAATCAGAGCAGTGCCCGTGGCCAGGTAGAAGGTGTCCACGTCGGCGAACTCGTTCCGCAGCTGGGAGAAACTGCGGACCTGCGTGTGAGTGAGTTGAAAGGTGAGAAAACAATTTGTCAAATCATTTTGCAAGTTTCGGCCAGGCTTTGGTCTTCATTAAGTTATTAGGCCGCGTCAAGGTCGCCGCGCCGTGGCCGTTGCCGTTGACGTTGCTTACCTCCTGGCCAGTGCCTGTGTACATTTTCTTTGCTCCGTTAATTTTCAGCACTTGACCCAAATCCTCGAGCACTTCCTCGAATGGCTGCGAGGTGCGTAGGTTCAACAAAACGCGACACTGCAAGGGGAGAGCGAGAGAGCGTGAGAGGGCATGAGAGGGTATGGTAAACCCGTAAATGGGATTATGCATGTGGATGTGTACATAGAATCACGTGTTAAACATGGTCGAGTAATTAGTCTGGCCCCTGGCATACATACATATGCACCCGTACCCGTACCCGTACTCGTCCTGTAGCTGTACCCGTCCCGTAGCTGTACGTGTGTACGGCTTACATGGGTATGTGTGTGTGGCCCTTCAACACATTTGACTTGACCTGCGATCAAAAATTTAGTCACGGCACGCAACTTCCGCCCGGGTCCTGCCTCGGATCCTACTCTGGGACCCACTAATATTTATAATTATATGCTGTCGTCGACTGTTTCCCCTCCTCCCTCCTCCCTCCTCCCTGTGTCCTTGCCCTCGCGCCCTCGTCCTTGTCCAGGGCTACATCCATTTCCACTTCTTTGCGGCGCGTTCCACAAATCGAGTCTGTGACCTAGTTTGCGTTTTATTTTAATGCTTAATACATTTTATTTGTTGCTGCCGGGAGGTGGACGGGGGGAGTCTGAGGCAAAGGCAGGGACACCATTGTTTGCCCCTTGATGTGGATGAGGATGTGGGTGTTTCTGCTGCTGCTGTTGCTCCTGCTCCTACTGCTGTTGTTGTTGTTGTTGTTGTTGCACTTGAGCTCGTGCTCTCATAATTGGGTGAGCCCCACAAGCAGCTCGGCCCGGACCGATGGTGCGGCCAGAAGAAGGCCACGCTTTGTTGCATTTGTCGGTTGGCGCTTCAGTTTGGCTTTCCTGCTCTCGCTGCTTACTTTTCGAGTGGAACACTTGAGTTTTAATGACCTTCAGGGCCCTGATAACAGCTATTCACGCGTGCCGAAGAAGAATCTGTCTTTGTGCCTCTTCTGCCATCATCTGGCCGGGCCGTCTCCACTGGAACACGGCGTCCCCATTAAATTTAAGCAGCTGCCAGACCACACAGATGGGAGATACCTCTCTCCGTTGCCCCCACACTCCACGCCGCGCGGCTCCAAGCGCGCCAGCGACAATTGGGCGAGTGAGCACACGATAAACTTTCGCCGTGTCTGGGCGAACTCGGTTTAATTTATGTATTTAGTTTGGCTTCGAAAAAGGCGTCGGTTTAATGGTTTTATGTCCGTGTTGAGTGGTTTTCCCCGAGCAATTCTGCTACTTAATTTCCCGACCAGATCCGACTGATTGTCAGCAAAAAGGAAATCAACGTAGTTTCAAGTCCCTCCCTGACCAAGCCCCCGGCCAAACACCAAAAACCCGTGGCGCATTTTTTAAAATCAGAATTTGAACTTTTTCTGTCGCAAAAGTTGGAAATATGATTTTTGGTTGCTTCGGTTGACCAAATATAAAAAGTTTTTGAGGGTAATTTGCAAATCAATTATAATTATCGGATACATTCTGGCAAATGTATTACTTTTTTTAAGTCTCAGATCGAAACGAATACTCGTAATCCTTTTGCCAGGCAGAGAAGGAGGCCTTTCCTGAAACACTAGCGATTAAAATAGAATTAGTTCCTTTCTACTAGTCGTATTTGTTGGTCAATTGAGTCTCGGGCCATCTATTTAGTCCGATGCGAAAACAAACGTTTTTTTATCGTGGGTTTTTTTCCTCTGTTTTGATCTATCGGTTTTTATGCGTTGTTGTCTCACTTTTTTGTTGTTAGAAATTTGATTTACAGCGACGACGCATGTCCTTTATGGGTCGTTAGGTTAACTGGTTCAGGTGTCGGCCTTATCGGACCGGGCCCTAACGATTGTTTGGAGCGGCCGCCGTCCGCCGTCCGCCGTCCGCCTCTATTTATCACAATATACGTACATATATTGATGGTTTATCAAACCGGTACACCTGCGACCCAACTGTCCGGCGAAAAGCGGCCGTTTGAAATTAAGATCCTGACGGAATGGTTGGAATAAGTGAAATAAATAAGAGACTAGGGAGACTCTGTATCCTAGAAATGCAATAAAAACCACCATTGTTCAAGTTTTCCAATCCATCCAATGTCCATCAACAGCTCTTAAAGTACATTTTCTCAGTTCAAAATCAGTTTCTCTTTGGAAAAGCTCCTCCTTCACAGCCCCCCAATCGAGTGTCACTTAATTTGCCGGAAAATGAATTGAAGGGACAGAAGCTGCTGCAGAAGATGCTTTTAATAATTTTGTGCAATGCATTTTGGGCCGATGCAGAGATGCAGAGATGCAGAGACGGTCCCTGGCCCTGCCATAAATTATGCATGGATACATATCTCTCAGTCTCTTCCCTTGTGTGCGTGTGCGTGTGTGTGTGTGCACACAGATGCTCGTATATATACATGCAAAATCACACACGGGAGCTATTCATAAGATGTCCTGATGATGCACAGAGGCCTCTGCCTCGGCATTGACTACTCGTATAAACAAATATAATTATGTGAGCAAATAATTACATTACCGAGAACGTTGGCAGCTCCAATCACGTGACCCCAAACAAATGGCGTTTGTTAAGCCAATTACGTGCACTTTTCGTATATGGGTTGGGGTTTGGGTTCGGGTTCGGGTTCCGTTCTCACATTCCCCATTCAGGTACTGCGCGGAGAAGGGGGGGTGGCAATTGGTAGGGAGGGGGTCAGGGAGAGACGGCAAACAGCTGCCGGAAGGAAGCGGGCATCGACGTGGACACAGGTCCTTCATCTGGCTGTGCATTCTGTGTCCTGTGTGTGATTTAAATTTTCAGCATTTCTCTCCGCCCTCCGCCCACCCATCCTTTAAGGGGGGTGTGGGGTGGAGGGTTTTTTCCGACATTCAATCGTTGGGCCGTTGCATGGCTGATTTAATCTTGGTGACGTCCAAACCACTCCAATTTTTCAAATATTTTCGTTTGCTTGCTCCGCTCCGATACAAAGGAATTCCAATAAAACACAAACATGCATAAAACAAAAGACGTTAAACTGCAGGGGGGGGCCAAAGAGGTGGCTGGAGGGGCGGCAAAGCGGCAGCTTTGTAGTCCTCACTGTCGTCATCGACAACGTCCATGGAGTTGCATAAAAGGGACCAGAGTTATTTAAATGAAAACGACGGTCTGACTTTGGGGCTTCGGAGGGGGGCGGTTAAATCGAATCTAAGAAATATTTATAGCAGAACCCTAGTGGAAAAGATGGAAACTCTTTATGCATTATCTGCAGCAGGACTATCGAAGATGTGTATTTCATTGAAGGAGCGCATTCCTGGGTTGCGGCAGCAGAAAGATCCCTAATTTTATACATATTTTCTTGGCCAGTGTTTGTCTTCGTCAAATATACACATGGCCAAGAGCAGGAGAGCACGTCAGTCCGCCCCGTGGCCTCCCTATGTGCAGGAAAATACCTACACATATCTCAATGTGCATTCATTACATGTCATGTGCATAAACACATAATAACTGAAGGCCAAATTTGTTTCATACGTCAAACACCTGAGTTGCAGGTTGCAAGTTGCAAACAAAAGCAAAATACAATGTGACACGTTGCACTTTAGATTGGCAAACGCCCAACCCCAATCCCACAGTCCTACATATAGGAAAAGTTAAGGGGGGCTGCTGTTGGTGCTGTTGGTGTTGCTGTTGCAGCGCCAATATTGAGTGCATGCCATTATGCATAGCCATTTATTGTGCCTTTCAATTGCATTACCCCGTGCGAACATCAGCCGAGGCAGCCGAGGCACCAGAGGCACTTGATGCAGACGTAGACATTGATATAGATGTAGATGTGGATGTAGTCGCTCAAAACAGAGCCCAGACGCAAACAAAACCAACAGACACAAACGCAAACACAAACATGGGAAAAGACACAGACACAGACACAGAACGGACCCAGGAGCAGGAAACAAGTGGGCGATGCGGTGCACAGTGTCCACAGATTGGGGGAAATAATGAGCTCCAAATTGTAGTCTATTGGAGCCTATTATTACGGAATCTTTCCAGAAATCTCTCCTTGCAGATCTATCGTTCCTGAGATGCGTATGGAGTTGAGTTGGGTTCTCTTCAATGGTTTCCATCCATTCATTACTCGCCTTGCACCACTGTGCTCGATGGAATCGGATCTCCGAGTAATGTACGTGTAGTGGAATCGGCGTCAGCATTTGGTGTTTGGCGGCGGCGCCGTACTCCGTACTTTCAGCGATTTTTGTACAAAATATATATTTTAGCCGGGACTCCGTCCTCTGGCCCGACCGACAACGACAGCGACGACGACGACGACGACGACGACGACGACATGTCCTTGGCCTTGGTCATTGAGCGCGTGCAGTGTTCGGTGGGTTGAACAACAAAAACAGCGACTACTACTCGTACAGTTTCCTATTTTGCAGTTGTTGTCGGTTGTACTTTGGTCAAATTTGCATTGCAAACTCCATTAAGTGGGTCTTGCCGGCGGGGAGAGGAGCGGAGAGGGGCTCTGCCTAGCTTGCTTTTGTTGTCGCCTATTTTTCCATTGTCTGCCGTTGTCTGGCATTGTCTTTCCCATTAATGGGATTCGATTCAGGTCTGGTCTCCGGCAGATGGACAGGCACTCTCACCACCTTGGATTGGGTCGATCAGACGCAGCGAATTCCTCGGCCAAGGTTGAAACGGCCCTTGATCACACCCACGCGCCGCAAGGTGTCGAAACGCCCACAACGTAATGTATTTTGATTCATAAAACGGCACGAAAGCCCCACCCAGTCTTCGCGTATCCCACCTGGGAAAAAAGGGCTACAAAAATTTTACTTGCACTTAGGAAAATTACCATAAAACGTTACTACGACAACGGCTTTGGAGGAGGGGAGGCGGAGACGGACTACGTTTATAGTGGCTTCGGCCAATTCATATTTTAAAGGCATTTTCGTAATAATAACATAAATTACGAGACTGCCAGAGCGAGGGGGAAAGAGTAGCCCTCCGAATGCAGGAGTTTTCCCAGGCCGTCCCTCGTTTTTCGTCTGCCTTCTTGTTTTTGGTTGTTTTTGCTTGTTTTTGCAGGGGGTATGTCAGCGGAAATTACCAAATTGACCGTGGCTTCAATTTTGTTGCCGTTCGGCTTTTCGGCTGTTTATCCAACCGCCTGCCTGCATACCAGTACGAGTACAATAAAACACAAATTGCAGACAATTGATTTTCCATATGATTGCTGCAGGGCCCCGAAACCCCGAAACCCAGTCCCCTCCCCAGCTCCGACCCCGAAAGTGGGCAAAGGTTAATTGCACCCTTCTTTCAGACTCCCACACAGAACCTTTCGACATTTTTTGAATGTCAAAGTGAATGGGTTTTTGTTGATTGTCATGAAAATTTAATCCCTGCACTTGCACGGGGAACGATTTAATAGAAAATGTATAATAAATTGGGAATTATAATTGCGCAGTCATTACGGCCAGGCCGAAAACCGAGTCAAAAAAAAAAAGACGGGTGTCGAGGGGAGGGGAGATTGCGTTTGAAAAATGGCAACCGCAACTAATGATGGTCCCGAGAGTTGGTCCAAGGGTTTTTGCAGAAAACACACACAAAACTTTATTCCAATGTGTGTCCTGGGTATATAAATTGTCGAATTATTTATGCGCTGGATCCCTTAATGACAGATAGTCAGTTGCGGGGTCAGAATGGATGAAAAAAAGGGGAGCAAAATAAATAAATAAACTGCGCTGGCCATTAAATATTTATGGCAAATATTTATATAAACAAAAGCGAATCGGTTTGGCATTCAATCGACCTCGGAGTTGGCGGAGTTGGCGGCGCTGGCGGCGGCCCCAATTTTTTGGCCCACCAGCGAAGCTGAAAAGTAAACTTTTGACAAAATGCATTTTCACTATTTGCCAGGTCAGAGGTGGCTATATGCTCGCACTCGTATTTGTATAAAACTTTCCGGATTCCGAATTTCGAATTTCCTCCGTTGAATATTTAAGAATATTTTTACCGGCTGGCTTTCCGCATATTTCGGCCATCACTTTGCATAAATTTCAGTGGACTTTGGCAGCTCAGCCTCGGCTCCAAGTGGCGGCTTGTGCGCTTGTCGCGACGCTCTAATGCAATAGTCAAACATAAATTTACATAAATATTGCAGTCCGATGCGCGCTTTAATCGCGCCAATTAAAACATTTGCCCAACGCATCGCTGCCCCAGCGCAAATACAATAACAAAAACAAATACCGATTCAGGGAAATAGCAAAAATTCTGCAAAATGCAACGCACGAGGAGCAATTTCGCAGCAGAGTCCCCCACATCACTGCACTTCCACAACACAAATATTTGTGTGCATTGTTGAGGGCCTGGGCCGGGTCATGGTCCTGGGTATGCTGAAACAATAAATATCGTACGAGTCTGTGATGTCAGGAGAGGACCCAGACCCAGACCCAGACCCAGACCCAGAGCCAGACCCAGAGCCAGAGCCGTACTCGGACCCCCCTGCACTCACCTGCACCGAATGATCCAAATTATTGATGATGCGTATCACACGGCCGGCACTGCGCTTTATCGAGCCTGATGTGGTCGATAATGTGCCCAAATCCGCTTCCATTATTGAGGGCTTCCGACTGGCGGGCTTGGAGCCCCAGCCCTGATTTCCAGGCGATGCATACCACATCCCGTTCTTCTTGCCGTAGCTGGCAGGCTATCCGAATAAAAGAAAATGAAAGAGATAGAGAGGGAGAGGGAGAGAGAGAGAGAGAAAAGTATAGCAAGTGAGAAACAAATAAATAGTAAAAGTACGTGCGAATTGCTGAATTTTTGGCAATGGGCTACTATCCACTTCTCATCTCCCATCGGCATCGGCATCGGCAGCGGCATCGGCATGGGCATCGCCATTTCCAACCCCATCCCATACCATCCCAACCTCATTTTCCATACAATATGTATATTGTGCGTACGAGTATGCATATGCCACATTCAGATCGCTGCCATCGCCACCGCGGCTTTCGCGAAAAATTCCTCGCAAATCTGGAATTAATTAAATTGTTTTGCAGCACGCACCGCTCCAGCTCCGGGTCCGGCTCCGGCTCCGGCACCAGCTCTGGCTTGACCATGGACGTCGACGTGAACACGTATCTGGACACGCACCCACTCACGTCACCCCAAAATGCCAAAATCAACCAAATCTCATCCACGCAAACACTCACGCACTGGCAGATTGTGATTGTGTGCTCTTCGGAACACAACGAGTACCCGAACCCGTACCCGTAGCCGTACCCGTACCCGTGTACCCCTAGCTGTGCGTGAGGCTAAGTTGGTTGTCTGTTTCTGAACTTTTTGCTCTCGCCTCTTTTTCGGCCAAAGGTATCGAAATTGCTCGACGACGCGTCGGCTCGGTCTTAGATAGGAGTTCGTGAGCGGACTGCGAAAAGATGATGGAAATCTTAAGCATCTACCATCTACCAAACATTTTCTTGAATGGCAATCCTTTCTATGATGACTGTCTGACTCGTGATTCACATCTGGCAATCACTTTCGATGTCACGCTCTCATCTCTAGAGCGTTTTTTCTGCCGCCAAGTCTGCCTAAGACTGGAAAAGAAATCTGCCTGTGTAGGTGGATATTGGCATGCTCTTTTATCTCATTGAATGATTACAGTAACTGACATTGCGAGATTAGTTCGGCCACAACTTGAATAAATTATCAGCAGAACGCTCCAAGCCTCCCTTCCACCATTCCACTCAACAGTTCGATGAGGTTAATGATACATGATACATGATACATGACACGGCTACGCACATCTGTATGTATTTTTGCCGTAAGCTTTCCATTTGCCTAATCATCAGTAATTGCCCCAGGCATCTCTTTCGTTCGCAGCCGAGAAGTCTTTGACAAATATGTATACATCCATACAGGTATGCAAATGTGGCATTCTTGGTATATGCATGTTGGAGGAACAGGATCCTTTAAATTGAGTTGTGGACACTCTCCCACAGTCAATTTGACAGATGCATTTGTCTTGTTTTTCATTTGTTTCTCATATTTTGATATATTTTCCAGCTCCACCTCTACAGAATCCCCAGTCGATGGGGAGAGTCAGGAATAGAAGTGGGACCATAATTCAAAATAAATAAATTTCTTAATTTAATTTTAATTGTTTTTCTTCTCCCTATCGTCGTTGCCGTGCCTGTCTGTCGTTTGGGTTGCTTTCGTTTGATTTAAAAATTCGTAGGTAGAAATTTAATTTTAATTCCACATTCGGGTCGGATGGATTTTCAATTTAATTTTCCTTCTGGCTCTCCTTCTCTCGTCTTGCCGCAATTGATTCTTCACCAAAGGTGAGGGAAGCAGGGACGCTTGAGCGGGGATGAGGGTCCGAGGCAAGGGCGATACACTCGTACAATAATTGTAAACCGAATACGGGAGCCGGAACGGAGGACGGTACAAAAACTGTAAACTGAAATTAATGTAAATTCGTTTTTAACACAATTCCTCAACCGGCCATTTTACGTTTTCTTTGTCGGGCCGGAGCCGGTAGCCGGGAGCCGGGACCCCCGTTTGACCCGAAAAACCGAATGATGTTTGGGGTCTCGGTCTGTGTCTGGGCCTACGCTCTTTGAGCGTATAGAAAGCTCTTTGCAGGAGCCCAGCATGTGCACAAGGTACAATCAAAATCAAGGCTTTTAATTGAAATTCAACAAAATGCAAAAATTCAAATATCCTTCATGTAGTATTTGTCTGAATGTGTGTGGGTGTATACATACATACAGACATCTGTACCTGTGTGGATTTGGTTTGTGCAAAGCGTATGGATGTGTCAATGATTGTTGTTGTCGTCGGGATTCAACCTGGCACTGATACTGCGAGTGGGAGCACCAGTGGACAGACACGGAGCGGGAGCCGGGAAAAAATTCAATAAAAAAAAAAATAGTATCGCCAGAAAACAATTTTTTATGCCAACCATTAAATTGCGAATGAATATTTTCTATTGAACAAAAACATTGGGATCTCTCCTTCAGCAGAATACTTCTACAAAACATTTTTCTGGCTTCCTCTCACTCTCACTCTCTCAATATTATCTCTAATAATCCATCAAAATTAATCAAATTTTATAATTGGAATTATTAGTGGTAATGCGATTATTTCTGGAGTATTTTCGATATAATTTCTAATTATTTATAGCTTATGCAATTTTTCCTGTGAAATTCTTTTAATTCCTCATGGGATACTCTCCGGTGAAGAGAGCATGTTCAACTTGTGGAGTATCGCTCTATTCTGCGTGGAACACTCTTATATTTTGAAGCCTTTTGTATGCCTGGACATCTGATTGGATCTGGGAACAGGACGTTAGACGTTAAAATGTAAGGGTGTTAAGGACTTCGATGTGACTCAGGCAGACTTCCCTTCATGTTTTTAATTAAAAACCGTTTCTTTTTTGGAAACGATTTATTCATTCAGCAATTTGTTTGAAAACCTCGTGATTGACTAAATAATATTTTATTTATTTAAGCATAAGGGATTTGCTGGATGCGGGAGAAACTTTAAGCAGCGATTGGCCTAGCCCGGCCCTTGGGGAACGACACTTCTACTTGACTCCCACTTGGGGAAGTGGCTGCTGGTCCTGCCACTTAGCAACTAGCATCAGAGTCGTAGCCGGAGCCGGAGCCGGAGTTGGGGCATGGGGCAGCTTGGCGAAAAGCTTAAATTACGCGCTCAATTAAACTTTAAGCAAGTTGGAAGAGGGCGGGCCCCAATAAAAAAGGGGCCGGGGCGGAATCTAAGCGCAACTTCAAAGCCCTTGTCCCGTTTGACGTGCAGCCTCGCAGAAAATTCAGTGAAGCCAACGACAACGACAACGCCACGACACAACGTGACACAACCCGAAGGCGCTGACTTTGGGGTGTGGCAGCGTCTGAGCGGCGGCGGATTAAGCTGCCGCATTTTACGCATATTTAAGCCAAGGCCCAGACCCCTGTCCCCCCATAATCTTAGTGATTATTACTTTGGGGAGCCAGCAGCGGGCTGTGGGAAGCGGCCCGAAATGTGTTTTGTTCCGGCATACCCGTAGGCAAATAAAATAGTTTTCCCGATAAACTGGTAAACAAATAAATACTCCCATATATTGACATTTCTGTCTGGGTCCCCCGGTCCACTCCTGGCAGCGCGCGAGCAATGTTTATTGGAATTTACAATTTATGGACAGCTGTGCGTATACTTAATATCGAAAGGGGGAGGGTTTCACCTTTTGGGAGATTTGTTTGTCATGGATTGGTGGATGATGGGTTAAAATAAGATTGAATAAAGGGAGCAATTGGGAAGTTCCGTTACAGGACCTAATTGTAATCTGGGACCCAAGCCTCTAGTCCAAACACGTCATAAATTCTGGCTTGCTCTGGAAGTGGCTGGATCTAAGGACTTTCCCAGGGATGGTGCGTTGGCTCGATGCCTTTCCTCCCCTTGGGTTTTCCTCCTATTCAGCAGTTTAGAGTAACTTAGTGGCTAATGCAAATATCATACTCAATATGGGGCGCAGCATACATTTGGGCTGACGTGGCACACGCCACGTGCCGCAAACACGCACACACATGCCATACAAGGCAATACAATATTTAAAATTGGGCATACATCAACAAAGGCCAGCCAGCCAGCCAGCTAGCCAGACAGGAGGACAGCATGAGATGCAGCGGCCAGCACACGTAGACCATTAAAAAACACTTAGAAAAACAACAAAAGTCATTTAAACTTTCAGCCAACTTTTTTACCAACCTCTCGCTTCCGCTGTCAGTGGAAAAAAAAATGAAATGTGAAATTAAGAGATGTGTGTGAGACGCGCAGGGAGGCTGGGAGCCACGAGAGATACATATGTGTGTGTGTGCGTGTGTCTGTATGTGATGTGCCGGACACGGAGCCGGTCTCTTTGTTTGCACTGACCCAAGACTTGGTGGGGGATGTGAGCATCACAAAGGGCGAACTTTCCTCGCTATCCTCGTCGATGTACATTTAAGCAAAAGTTTCTTCCTCGTTTCCCAGGGCTTACGAACGGGAGTGGGTGTGCGAGTGTTCGGGGCACTTTTAATTCAGTTGCACTTTTATCCGCCGCACGGCATCAACTTGATATAAAAAAAAAGAAGAAAAGGCAGCACAAGAGTGCAGAAATAAATGTAATTTTCTGCGCGCGTTTTCCTTCGGCCTTAAGTGAGTTAATTGAAATCATTTACATTTAATTGCACTTTAAATGAGTTAATACGTGGCTCTAGCTGGCTGTGCTAACTGCCTCGAGCCTGGAGTGCTACGGTTATCGGGAGTTTAAGCTATACGGGCAACCGTTCACATTTCGTTTAGGTTCCGCTGGCGTTCGCAAGGCAACTGTCGACAACTCGAGTCAATGGAAATCAAGTCACTGAGGTGGTGTCCGCGTCCTGCCACGCTAAGTATTACGTTACGTTCCGCCGCGTTACGCTATCCATACGTCGCCCCGATTGACCAGGTTATGCATGCACATACATACATGTACGAGTACGTATGCACGTATGTATGTATCTATATGGGGCTGACGGATACATGTGTATTAGTAGTATAGGTGTACATGGCGTGTATATGAAGCATATTCAAATTGGCAACTCAGCACCACACTCTTGAGGCTCTTTCTTCTCTTTTTCTCTCTCTGCAATACCCACTCTTCGTACTCATTCACTCACACTC